ACACACACACACACACACACACACACACACACACACACACACACACACACACACACACACACAGGGAGAAGCACACACATGACTGCACCCTGTAAATGGCTCCAGGCTTTTACTTTCACTAGAAACCACAGTCAACATTCCCCGCCCGTCCTGCGCTTTGGTTCAGCGTTCAGTCCAAGCCGCTTTCAGGGAGCTCGTACAAATGGTTCCGATTATTTAAAGCAGGACCTAGGCTTGGGCATAATCGTATCGTCTGCAATTAATCGTCAGAAAAACATTAATAGATTATTTTTTGGCACTTGACGATAAATACGATTAAAGCCACCAGACAGAGTCCGCTCGATGCTCCTCTCCACTTCAGATAGGACAAACGTAAAAAAAAAAATCTGTAATTTATTTATCTATCAACACAATTTAAAATTTGATGTATAGCCTGAAGTCTGTAATTTTGACACAATTTGGAACAGTTTATTTACGAAGAGCAAGTCTTTCCCACTAAATTGGTCATGTGACTATTTAAAACCACATACTGAAACGGCCTGGGTCGGATTTGAAAAAATTGGATTTGTCGCGTTCAGACTGTCATAAAAAAATCGGATATGAGTCAGATGGGTCAAAAAAATCGGATTTGGGTCGCATTTGCCTGCAGTGTGAACGTAGCCTAGGATATAAGGGTGTCCAGGGACTCCAGGGCATTAATCGTCAAATTAATTGTTATCGGCTAAATACCACAATTAATCGTGATTAATTTTTTGCCAATATTGTCCAACCCTAGCAGGGCCTCAATAGATGTTGGAGTCCAGTTATCTGGGCTCCTGAGTGATGGTAGGACGGAGCAGGAGGTGGATCCACAGATCCCTCGTCCTCAGTAATGAGGGTGTTGCTTCGTTCAGCTGTGATGAAGAAAGAGTTGATTTACTGGTCTGTTTACGTTCCAACTATGATGTTGAGGGTTGGAACAGAGGCGTGATTTTCTCAAACGATCCAGTCGTTTGAACGGCACCTTACAACGAACGATAAGAACAGAGTTGTGGACAGCAAAGAGTCTTCCCAATTTTATTTTTTATTTTTTACTCATCATCAGTGGTGCGTACAGCCAACCAAAAGGTTAGCTTCACTACTCCACTAAACAAGAATCTTAGCTCCGCTAATGCTAAACTGATTACAAAATTAGTGAATGCTAACACTAAACGCAAACTTTTAGGCTGTGTCCAAATTTAGGAGCTGCGTCCTTCAAAGGACCCAGCCCATCTGGATTAGATGAGCCGGGATCTTGGTGGACCGTGAATACCGGAAAAAAGTGGCTGTGGATTTGAACCATCTAGCCTTCTGCTTTATTCCCGCCCTTACCCCGGCATACGATGCTGAACAGAAGCAATAATAAATCTAAATTAGCTTAAAGGCAATATTTGAAGAACTAATGGACCCGTAGTACGTGCACGTTTATTTTGCCATACCATCTCATTTGATTTCTGACACGAATAATACTAAAAAACAAAAACACCGCAACTGCTTTAAATGTTTGATTTTTATACAGCCAGATTTTCTTTTCAAACTGTACTCATTTCTCTCGCGGCGTCCAACATTACAAGCAATAAATAATTAAATAAATAAAAATCTCTGGTCAGCCCACAATGCATCATGAGATAGGGTGGGCTGAGAAGGATCCACCAGACCTGTCTGTCAAATCGGGGAAAAAGTAGGACGCATTTGTGGGCCACAATAGGAGGACTCTTCGAATTTAGACAGTAGTAGAAGTAGTAGTAGAGTTGCTTCTCCTCTGTATCAAAAGGAGTTAGCTGAGGTGCTTCATCTGATCTGGACGCCTCCCTTTAGAGGTTTTCCAGGCAAAGAAGAGACCCTGGGGCAGACCCAGAACTCTCTGGAGGGATTATAGACCTTCTCTGGTCTGGGAACACCTTGGAGTCACACAGGTGGAGCTGGGGGGAGTCTCTGGAAGAAGGGAGGTCAAGGTTTCTGTCCTCCACCGGCTGCCTTTGCGACCCGACAACAGATATGCGTTACAAGAAGAAAACGAAGATGAAGGACCTCGGCAGGATAATTTCACATTTCAGGTCATAAAAATAAAAAGAAGAAGAAGGTAATGCCTCACTTTAACAAGAGTAGACATCATTTCCTGGCACCAGTATTTACCTAACACAAAGATCATCCTTTCAGCTTCTGTAGAAATGTAGAGGAAAATCTTAAAGATGTTAAGATTTGATCGGAAAAGCAAAACAAAAGTCTTGAAACTAAAGTTTTTCAGTGATTATTTGAGGTTTTGTGGTGGACTTCCGACCTGTCCAGGGTGTACCCCGCTCCTCGCACTGTGACTGCTGGATTTGGTCACCAGTGACCCCTGTGACCCTGAAAGGAAGAAGTGTGTACAGAAAATGGATGGATAGATTTGAGGTTTTTATATTGTACCCCCATTGTTTGACCAACAAATGAACTGTGACATGATTCATTAGTTGTCATCAACAATCCTTGCTGATGGCTCTGTCAGTCTGCTGTTTGCAGTCGGTCTTTATCGCTCTTTTAATCTCGACTCACCTGCTGATTGTTTTCCTCATTAGTCAGTGGTTCCTTTTAGAGCAGTAGTGTCTAATCCTGGTTCTCAAGGGCCACCATTCATGCCGGTTTTAGTCATTTCCCTGCTCTTCTTCAGGTCCTCAAGCTCTGCAGAATCCTGTTAATCTCTCATCGTTAATCCCAGTCCCTCTCCCCTGCAGGTATATCAGGACCCTATACCTGGGCGTCATGTCGCGCCGACAGAAGGAGCATCAGCGGCGGTGGTACTGGGCCATGATGTTCGAGTACGCGGACGTCAACATGCTGCGCCTGCTGGAGACCTTCCTCGAGTCTGCACCTCAGCTGGTCCTGCAGCTCTGCATCATGATTCAGGAGAACCGGGCCGAGACTCTGCAGTGTAGGTGGAACGCGGAACCGACGTTAATGCCATGTTTTCATTTAGCTAACAAAAGCCTCGTAATCAAACAGCTGCATAAGCAGTAATTAGCACCGTGCACACATTGTGCTCAGTAATGTGTGTCTGCAGACGGTGCTGCTTTTGGATTCTCACAATGTGTGTGTGTGTGTGTGTGTGTGTGTGTGTGTGTGTGTGTGTGTGTGTGT